TTTTTTTTTCCTCTTTCTCCCCCCGGTTTAGCTTGTAGTCGCCTCCGCAGGGCTGCCCGGAGGGGGCGGCGGCCGGAGCGCGGGGCGGGGCGGCCGCGGACAGGGAGCGGAGCGGAGCGGAGCGGAGCCGAGCGGCCCCGGTCCCCACCTCGGAAAAGTTCTTTCTTGCTTTTTGCCTTCGCTCCAAGGGAGGCTCGGAAGCGACGTCCCGCAGCACGGCCGGAGCGGCGGCAGGCAGGTCCGGCTCGGCTTAAAAGAACCCTTTCGGGAAGACAGAAATAATTAAGCGCCTGCGTAAAGCCAGCCCCAACAGGTAGCCGGCGGCAAGAGTTAGTCGGGACCAAAGCACCGCCTGCGCTCACTGTTTTCGCCTCGTTCACGGGTTTTCATTAATCGTTCCGTAACACGCAGTAGCTCACAGGACAAAGGGTGGCAGACGTTGTTCCTCCTTCCATAAATAAAACTAATAAAGGAAAAGAAAATCTTGCCGCTTTTCACGCCCGCGTTTCAAAACGCGTTTCAAAACATCCCCGCCGAGGGCTGGCGGGCTCGGAGCCGGGCAGCTCTTAAAGGTGCCGAAACCAGAGCTTCTGAAAAGTCAGTCTTTTCAGAACTGGGCGAAATTGAAAAGTTCCTCCAGAATATGGCTGGGAGTTCGCGTAAATATTCACTCAGGCACATAACACCTTGTGAGCGAAACAGATTTTCCTGAGGGTTCCTAAATGTTTGGTTTCAGATTGGCAGTGAGCCCGCCACAGCGGATGATGATGTATTTTCTCTCTTTTCTGCAGGGATCTTAGCTGCTAATTGTTAAAAATCCCTGTTAAAAACCGCCCGCCGGACACCCGGCAGGGAGAGAGGGGGCTGTTACAGAACTGCCCAGATGTGCTCTGGAAAGCAATGAGCTTTCGTTTGCTTATTTTGCAGTCCACAATTAGTCTTTTTTTTTTTTTTTCTACCCTTCCTTTTGCTACTTGTATTGAGGCATCTTCTCAGCAGCTGTACATCAGCTGACTGAAGAGCTATTGACTTCTGCAGATCTAGATTTTAATTAAACCTACGTATGATCTGGTCCATTATGTCCAAAGGAACGCATTAATGGGAGACCACAATTCAGTTTCTATAGATCCACTTTTATTTGGATTGAACTGGTTTCTATGTTCATTGTAACTCAGGTTAGAAGTTACAAACATATCAAGCAAAAATAATCTAGGAAAGATTCCGAAAAGACTTGGGTGGCTTTTTTTTTGTTTGTTTGTTCTGTGTTCTTATCATTACATTATTATATTGATGTGTTCAATTACCATGCAAACCTACTACTCATTACTTCTGCAAGGGATTTGGTAACAGACATTGTTAAAGGTTTCTAGAATATATCAGACATTGCGAACTTTTTGGGAGTGCTCTGGGTAGGTTGTTAAAATGAATAGCAGACCCTACAGATTTCCTTAGTGTTGCTGATGCCTGCGTTTACCACTATGAATTCCTTCATATGATGAGATACAAGAAGTATTTTTGAGTACCACCAATGTTTTGCTTTTGAGTCATATCTTGTTGCCAGACATCACTCTTTTCCAGGATGTCAGGGGGGCAACCCTAGTCTTGCTGAAATCAATGCTAACACTGCACTGATCACAACTCTCCGTCTGAAATGCTGCTTTAGTCCTCATCACTCATGCTTGTGTTTTCTTAAAAAATACTTTCTTTGGAACAGTATGGCCTGAAGGGTGACAAAAGAATATTAGATTGTTTTACAGACAAGTAAGCAGGAAAAGTGGGGACAAAACCAGAATCAGTTTTAAGGGAAAGCGATATGAAAGTCACATTAGTGATCTGGACCGTTGACTCTATCCACTTCCTTAGATGTTTAATTGACAGTTTTGCAGTTCAAGTTTTGCTTTTCTGTTATGTATGTATTGTAACATATATACTTGATATATGTTACCTATGTTACATATACATGTTAACATACATACACATATGTTACATGTACACATATATGTAACATATAAGACTGCCGTAAGCATTAGGGGGGACAAGAGAACACAACTATAGTGCCGCTTTTCTGTCATGGGAAAAGACGCTGACAGACCTGCAGGCTTCAGCATTTACATCAGTAAAGGAGAGTTCCCCTGTTGACAGCACTCATGTTTCCTGTTAAGGAACAAACAGGTGTTGACATTTGCATCCACTGTTCTTGTTAATCCAGACTGAGTAAACTGCTAAGATTTTTCATGTAATAAAAAGTTTCAAAGGGAAAGTTCTTATGAATTCAGTACAAATAATTATATCATTTAATACACAAATTGCACATACAAAAGTGGGAGAAAAACATCAGTACAAAATATACTTCACACTTGAGGAAAATAAATTCCATCTTTTTACAAAAGAGATCTCTTGATTATGGGCCTCACACATTTCCTTGAATCTAGTTTTATTGAATCTAGTCCCAAACACCTTTTGACATGGAAAGATCTACTCTTGTCAAAACTGGTACAGCCTGTGAACTTCAGAAAAAGCAATGCAATTTTCTTTCTGTGGCCAGGATCCACAGCCATCTTTATCAGGTGTTATTACTCACCTCCAACAAAGTATTTTTGCTCCATAATTTTCCATAGCAATCAATGGGAAATATAGTGGAAGAAATCTATAAAGGAGCTGGGAACCTCAGTAAGTCTAGTTAGGACCTGGGAACCTGGTTAAGTCCAAACCTTCGTGTTCATTCCTCAGTGGCTTAATCAGGAAGATATTACTGAGAAAAATCATCACAAGGATGTCCTGACTTTTGCTCAGTCTTAATGGTTGGGTACCTCACTTTTATATGGTTCCAATAATAGAAATATTTGACTTACACTGGTGAATTTTCGTTCCAGGAAAGAGAACTCATTATTTAACAATCCAACAAATTGATTTAAAATAATTATTACAGCTAAAGTCTTTGTTACTATGTATTGTATATATAATAAAGCCTATAATCAAAATAATGTCAGTAAAATGCATTTATACTTAAAAATGAACATTTACCTAGTACCTCAGAAGCAATAAACAATTACCAGTGCATGAGCTAACACACATTTCCTACCCTTTTTAGCTACAGTCCTACTTTTCATTTTTAGGGTGCATTGAATAAGTGAGGCTAAGTATAAGCACATATACAGACAACTTTTCTTCAGAAAAGTGTTTCAGTAAAATCTGGGTTTTTTTTTTCTTTTTTCCTGTAATGAAGATGTAGTTGGAATTGAGGTTTAAGCCTCTAAACTGCACCCCAGTGTCAGTACAGTGAAAAAATTTAAAGTTTATTCATATTTAAGCATATGAGTAGCCGAGAAAATTCCAGAAATCTTTTGACAGCTCAGCCCTTGGCTTACTGACCCCTTTTATTTCCTGCAAAAATATTCTCTAGATTTGGTCATGTTTTGTTTATAAAACACAAGGCTGAAAATAGGCTTATTCTCAAGACTGACTTTTTTTATTTATTTGTGAAACAAGGTCAGGCACAGTAGTTGCATCAATCGTACCCCATTATTTTTCTTTATGACAGTTCCTAGAGTAGAAATTCACATTTTAAAGGCAGATGTGAACTTTAAAAACCATTCAAAAGCTAAATCAAAAGTTCATGATTCATAACCCACCTCTGATTCACCTTCTATAAAGTTATTAGTATGGAAAAAGTCAAGTATCTATAAGCATTAACTCACCTTCTGTCTATATTGTTGGGAATAATGTGACCCTGAGGTCATAGTTGTCACAACATTCAGATTTCTGTAGTGGAGAGGTGCCACTAATAAACTGAAGTTTATTGCTCTTTTCTAACATTTAGGAAGAAGTAAACATCTGTCCCTATTCATTTGAGAGCCGTTGCCATTCCACCACAGAGTTTGTACTGATTTTTTTTCTTCTAGTTCTCTATTCCAGTTCTTAAATATCAGTTCTAAAATAGCCTTTAAAATGCAAGCAATCAAAAGTGGAGAATTAAATTTGAAGCTATAGTTTCCAAAATCCCATCTATATTTTGCATTACAATTTAGTGTTTTAAATTAGTATTCTAAACATATAACCTAAGAATTATATATGAAAACATTTACCCATACTTTATTCAATGCCTAGCAATTTTCTCTGTAAAAATGACAAAAGCTAATCATCACGGTCTAGCAACATGCTTTTGCTTTATAGTTGTTGAAGAGGGTTGCTTGTTCCACTTTCCTTGATATGTGACAATTATCCCATGGGATGCTTTTTAATGTTGGCTGCAGAAGCAACTTGCCTGTGCATAAAAATACAACTGTGTTTTATGTAGCACAGAGAGCGTCAATACCTGATTTTTCTTGACATAACAGAATCAAAAGTATTTTGATGAACACTTGTAATACAATATAGCACAATAGAAAAAGTCTTATAAAACTCAGGAGAGTACAGCAGACATGGGCACAGCATCTGCAGAAGTCATTTACATGTACACTTAGTCTACCTTCAAGCAGCTTCATAAAATGGGCATCTGACACTTCAAGGTAGTAGAGCAAGAATAGAAAGGGTTAAGTTCTGTAAAATGAACTTCATGTTCTTATATGGGAAAAATTGAACTACAAGCTAGAGAAGATACCCCAGCCATGTGGGAAACATCAAAGTTATCTATGCTGAAAGAGATCATAGCAGAAAGAAGGAGGTAGGAGTGCAGCAGGCAGCGGAGAGCAGATAGGGCACTCTTCCAAGTGGTGACCACTTCTGCTACTGTCCATCCTGGTGGCAGCAGAAGCATCACCCTTGGCTTTCTCAGGCTCTCCATAGCTGCTCAGAAAGGGCTTGTCTGTCAGCAACGTCCTGGCCTTGGCTTGATCCCCGTCTTCCCCGGTCAAGGGAAGCAAAACACAATTTGTCCACATTGCTGAGGAGCCTGGAGATGGCTCCAAAGACAACTGTGCAAGAAAAAATATGAGGGAATGCCATTTTTTTTCTGCAGGTATCATGTCCAAAAAGTGTGTGATTTATGTGATTTTTGATTCCTCTTGAAATATTGAAAATTTGTTAGATGGATGCCTATATAAGCAGAGATTTATAGGCTCTAGGAAAATGGTACAACTCTGCTTCTGTAACTATGCAAAGGACTTGTGCGGATGTAGTAGAGAAAAACAGGCTTTTTTGTAGACAAAAACTGCTAGTTCACTATTTCTGTTAATTTTATATGGCAGACTGTTGTCATATGAACTGTGAGGCAGGAAGAGAAAACCATAAGGTGGATTTAATAGTATTCATTAGAATTACTATTTGAATTACCAACATATCCTGACTGCTTTACAAAATATGTTTCCTATCTTCTAGTTTAACAGCCTGACAAAACTAAATTCAGTTACAAAGTTCTGAGGGTGACAAGAAGGTTATTTTCTTTTACAGGTTTGTATGCTGCCCATCACCTTAGTCCTGTCATGATTTTGGCTGTATCAGAATTCAAGGAAAGGACATTAAAAATAGAGATAAAAATGAAAAATTCAACACAGAAAAATCAGTCCGTAGTTGCCGGAGATCTTAACTAAAGGTCTTACAGAAGCCATATTTGAGTGTTGCTGTCAAGTGTCTGGGTTTTGGCTTTTTCCACCTCTCGTCATTTATCTGATAGAACAGAGACTGGTTTTACCTTCAGCTAATTAGTGAGACTTTTATTGCAGTGGATGGAAGCAGCTCAAGCTTGATTTTGTTTGGGCCAGACTTTTCTTCTTTATTGATTTTGCTAACTACCTAAGTTGGTGCTTATTGATTCCGGCCCAGCTGTATGGTGTTTTAATTTTCTCTGGGAGAGGGCTTTGTTCAGAGTCAGGATCATTAGACTGATCCTATTTTTCATTGTTCTGAGAGTTTATGGGAGATGTTATTGCTCAGAGCTTATTTGAAGTTTACCGAAAATATAGGTGAGGTTGTCTTCCTTTCGCTCGTCTCCCAAGACTCGCTGGGTACAAGCAAAGCACCATGAAAGAGGGCTCTGCTGCAGGAGTTCCTCATCTAACTGCCCTGCATCTCAGGAGGCAAACAAAAATCAGAAAGAAGAATGACTAATTATGTATAACCAATCTTTATACATACCTTAT